TATATATATATATAAATAAATAAATAAATGGCCAACCAACAATATGAACTGTACTGCTAACCTGCTAAGTCGAGTTTTTTTTTAAAGATGTGCTTTACTAATCAACTATTTTGTTTTTTACTCAAAAGTGGGAAAAGACAAATTGCACCAGCTGAGCTCAGGCATGAGGCGGACCATGTCACTGGACGCCATCATCGGACCGTACCTGCAGGGCCACTGGCCGAAGGAACCGGATGCCCAGTGCAGTCCGCCTCGTAAAGACAAATCAACACAGGTCAGCTCCAAAAGTGGAAGTAAACATTTGCATTTCTTTCAGAAGAATGAGTGGAAGGCAGTCATAGTTTTTTCAAACCACTGAAACTTTAAAGTGGACGATAATGATTTTGCCTGTTTGTTACTAATATACCAGTGGACAAGTTTTAACAAAACTTGCAAAAAGTATTTGTAAACGCATTCAGTTCATCATGTGACAGGTGGGTTTGTGTCATGTAATATTACTTTGCAGTTTTTTTTAATGCAATGAAAGAAGTTGCTCAAAGTCTGAGGGTAGAGGGGAGGGCGTGTCCGGTGCTTGCACAGCTTTTACATAGTGTGAACTGCAGCCATGAGAACAGTCCCTGAAGTCAGCTGACGAGGTCGTTTTGGCTGCACTCATCCTCTCTGCTGCGTCTGCAGGCACTCGCCGCTGCTCTCTGGTTGCCCACATCCTCCACCTTCTCGCTGTTTTTCAGTTTCTCCAACTCATTCGCTCTTCTGTAAGCGTGAAGAGATGGTCTGTGGGTGTTAATGGTGCGATGCACGCCAGGCTTTAAGTAATAAAGCTGTTCTAAGTGTGAAACTACTGGTAATGTGAGGTCTTCGTGTGTGATTTTTAACAGTCTTGGATTTCACAGTAGTCACCTGAAAACTTTGAGGCCGAGGCTTTAATGTACGTTTGTCAAGTACCATGAAAATTATATTCCTTCTTCTGCAGACCCCAGACTCATGGGTGGATAAATCCCACATCAGGAAAGGAAGCGGCAGCCACAAGCGCTCAGCGTCATGGGGCAGTGCTGAGCATCTGCGAGAGGTCAGCGCTTGCTTTTGTTGCTCAACACATTTGTAGCTGTCAGATGTGTCAAACTTGGGAGTTTTAGCAATTGTGCAAGCTCATACAGATAGGCAAAAAAACAACAACTTGGATTATGTTTTTATTAACTGAGCAATGATCTCATCTACAAGGGAGTTTCACTTTTTCCGATGTTTATTTACGCCTCTCACCTTTCACAATATCTAAATCATCACCTGAACACAGCTGAGGTGGTTAAAGCATGCTCTATTTATATGTCTAACTTATCGAAAGTGCGTGTTTAAAAGAAAACTTGTGGGTTTTGCAGAAAGTTATTGACAGTAACTTGTTTTCACTGCAGATCGCAAAACTCAAACAACAACTGCAGCAGTGCAGCAAACCCGCTGTCTCTGGAGGTGACGATAAAGACCGTCAGTGTTTTTATCCTCATGGGAGCTGTAGCCTTGGAGCAACTCAGGTACCTTTACATCATCATCATCATCCAAACACTCTGCTCTTTGTACTTCTTGCTGCCAAATGTGTTTTTGTTTTAAGACTACAGCCGGTCTGTTTCCAGACGAGCATCACTGATGATAAGTAAATACTAAAGCTGTGCAGCTCTTTGCAGGAAGTGAATGAAATGAAACACTAAGGCAACAGGAAGATCACTACATTACATGCGCTTCTGTTTCTCAGGAAGAAATGTGTAGTTCTGCTTTTCTGCACAGCTGTTCTTTGTGATCACGATGSGTGCTGCCATGCTTCACTGGGTTGTTGAGGTTTTTGGCCAAAGTGGCCCAAAACTAGGAAATGTCTTGATGTGTGTGAAACTTTAAGAGTAACTTGTAAAAGTTTTTAGGATTTATTTTAACAACAGCAAGTTGTTTAACACTCCTTATACCAAGGGTGTAGCTTTGAACACTTTACAGAAAGCTGAACGGACTTCTGAAGAGCCTCTTCTGTCTGAATCTCCAAAGAAACCGAGCCTAAATTCACTTTAACTTGTTTGTGTTCTCAGACTCAGCCAATTCCCATCCCCCTCTCTCCCCTGTCTACACTGGTCCCTCGACTGCGCTGCAGCGTGGAGGGCCTCAACCAGGAGCTGGAAGGCATGTTCATTAGCCAGTCCCCACCTCCACAGCACAGGGTAGGTGTTACCAACACACCACGCCACATGCACAYGCAAAGAAGCTCGGGTACGACTTTACAGGCTCCCGGAAAAAGCAAATGGTGGCTGATTTTACATTTTAAAAAGTTTCCATTCTCCTCCCGACAGCTCCTTGAGGTCCCAGACGGTCACCGTGCTCCAGTCCCTCTGCACAGCTGTAGCAGAGGTTCACAGAAYGAACGCGCCATCACACCCCTATCGTCATCCTCYACCTCCTCCTCGCCCTGCTCTTCCCCCCAGCTTCAAGACCCCCACTCATCATATACTCCTCTGGTCTCTCACCAAGGTTAGTTTGCAGGATTTTATGTCCGTGTTTTAATTTGTTGGGTCAGTCTTTGTGTGTATATAAACAAGRCATGTAGCTGTACTGAAAATAAAAGAATAAATGATCTTTCACATGTAGGCCTGTCACGATAACAAATTTTGCTGGAGAGTTATCTCAGATATTATTGCGATAAACGATAATTTTGTCTGGTTACCATTTTAAAACTAATTTAATGATAATAGCGTAACAATGTAAATACATCCTCTCAAAGATCAATAAACTTACAATTTTTTAAGAATGTTTAGCAAAATGGACTCTCAGTCTCTAACAAAAAATGCACTTGAATAAAAAAAAAGAACAAAGAACAACAAAATGGAAATTAAACACCACAAACAACTGAGACAGTAAATAAACAATAGCCGTGTTTCCTTCAATGTTATTTTAATGCAGATTTTGAAGTATCGCATCAGAAATGGTGAATGGAAACAGCATGATTCGTAAAAACTTCCTCTAATTCGCTTAAAAGTTGATACGCTCGCTTGAGGTGGGTTTTTTTCCCGAAAGAGTTAATGCGCAAAAGGAGAGATGGAAAAACATTTATCGAATAATTTCTGACGTAGCTAACATTTACCTCATGTTGATCAGCTGTTCCCGCTGTCTGTCCGAAACCAGTCCCGGTACCAGAGTGACTGCACCCGCGACTGCAGCTGGACCCTCCTCCCGCTGTCGGCGTATTCTCAGTTATTCCCGTAACGTGAAGAGAATTGCATTTCTTTTTCTACGTCTCCAGACAGCATGTACGTAACATCACCAGAACTAGTTGATGACAGAATAAACACAACTTTCCTGAAAGTAGCAACACGTTCCTGATAACTTCTTTCCATTGTCCTGAGATGTGACTGTTACTTCCTGTTTACTACACGCACGCGTCTGACGTAACTGATTTGCTTTAAGCCAGTTGATGGAAACACGTCTGATTCGCATTTATGCGTTCTTTCCTTTTTTGCGAAATTTAAAAAATTCGCTCAAAATTCGAATTCGAATTGAATGGAAACACACCTAGAATTAAAGAGCAGCATGTCTTTAGAGATGAAACGAACTACGCTGCCTGAGTGCGCACCACTTTTTGTATGTCGCTCATTGGTTGCTCCGGTCATTGTGGACTGTGGGGAAGACTGAGACAGTTTTAGTTTTTTTTCCCCAGCTGGGAAAACTGCATCAGATGATTATGTTATAGGTGCAGATGCAAGTTTGTGGTATTGCTACTTTTAGTTTCTATATTTTATTATTATTTTTTTACAACAATTTCGACATACCGGCTCCCCTTAAATCCAAGTGCTCTCACACTGCAGCGGTCGCATTCAGCTTTGAAACCAATTCCATCTCCATTTTTCAGAATCCCAACAACGTTTCTTTAGTTTGTTGTTGCTACGAGTTCTCGTGCTAAAGGGGTTTGAGACCACGGGCCTGGAAATACCTAACGCGAGAGTTCACTTCTTCCGACGCTAAGAAAACAGGAGGGGAGGAGTCAGTCGAGCACCCTGTGCACCGGAGCACAGAGTGGGAGAGAGATGAAAGTAAACAAGCAAGCAGGAAAATCAAACTTATCGTCCTCATTTTTTTATCGCTCATGTGACATGATGCAGTTTACTTGGCATCTGAAAATACATTTCCTTAAAGGTATTTTGAATCATAAAAAGAGCTTCACTGAGTGAGAAGTAGTGTTAAAAGCAGCAGACAGTAAGTTTCACTTTGCTCTGTTACTGCCGAGAGCCTGCAGGAGTCATGGGCCGGGGGTGGGGAGGTGTGCTCCGTGATGAGGAAGTTCGGCTTAAAGACACGTCCCAGGGGCGTTTCTGGTCCCAAAAAGGCATTTCTGGTCCTCACCTGTCGTTTTGCTCCTCAGCATGGCTGCCTAAAAACGCTGCAGGATTTCTCAAACATGCATGAATGAGTCAAAGCAAGGCTT